TAGAGCTATATATATATATATATATATATATATATGTATATATAAAAAGGAAAAGAGAACCCCCAAGCCCCCCAGATCCCAAATGGGTAGTTTTTACCCATTTGGCAAAATAAATGGCATGAAAACATAATTCTATGCTAGGTCTGTAGTCAGACTATCACTAATTGAGTAAAGTTTTGAACAGTAAGTTGCACAAATTCTGCTCTCTCAAGACAGTTCTGCCTTTTTGTCCAGAAAAAAAAAAGAGTGCTACACCTTGCTGGTTAATTGCAGAATAATCTGAAGAAGTGGGAGATAGAAAGAACAAAGTATTTTTGGTGCCAAAAATGAAATAAGGAGGAGAAAAAAATAAGAAAAATAAAATTGAAAGTGAACATGTGCAAAGTCTTGAAATTATTCAGGCCTATATTGCTGGAAAATTGTATACCTTATTTTTGAAGAAAAAATTTAAAGTGAAGAGTAGAAATATTTTTTAACCTTTTTTTAGACATGGAGAGATAGTATGTTGTGTGTCTGCAGTAACTTTAATTGACTTCCCCAGCATGAGAAAAATTTCACTGCTAGTGAAGATAATATGAATTTAATGCTATCATTTTACTCAGATGAAGTGTCAGGGGCAGGGTAAATTGAGGGTAGACTAAAACTCAGTGGTGTGTAGGAATACCTCTAAGTGGTACTTTGGATAGGATGCCTTACTGTAATTTTAATACTGCTACCAGTGCAGCATAATGTTACAGTCATAACAGTTTATTTAAACCTCTGTTTGCCCTATTCTGTAAAGCTAGGGGGTCATGCCATGATCTCTCCCTAGAGTCCCTCTATCCCTAGAAGTACAAAACACATGTTGAATCCAGCTCCCTTTTTCAAAGGCCTCTTAAAACTTCTTTATGTGGGTTGCTGCATAAAACTGGAAATATTCAAATGTTTTAGAATGAAGTGTGAGTATATACATTTTTCTGAGGAGTGATAACCCTCTTGGGTTACAGTGGGAAACACTGCTCAGTAGCAGAGGCTTTCTTAGCATGACTATGTCATCTGTGCTAGTTGGGTATAACTGAGGTTATATTACTCATGTATATTTTGGTATATTACTGTTGATAAATTGCATGGTTCTTCATTTTTCATTTTTAACTTTTTTTAAAAAAAATTGTAATTGTATTGCAGAGGGAGTACCACGATTAATGCCAGAAGAAGGGAGTATGTATTACCCCAGGGTGCAACACTACAGAGAGCTTTTGGACTCCTTGCCTATGGATGCCTACACTCACGGCTGCATCCTACACCCTGAATTAACAGTGGACTCCATGATTCCAGCCTATGCTACAACCAGAATTCGTAGTATGTACTGATATAGATCTGAGCACGTGTCATTCACCTAGATATTTGATTACATTAATGTGATACTCCATTTCGGGGCCTTGAGCAGAATATGTAGGGCATGTATTTCTGATTATAGTTGTAGTGCTTGATAATTTGTAACTATCTTGCTCTTTATTTTTGTAGTTTATTATGATTTGGAAGTATGGAAGAGGAAGTGCTATTTTCTAGGCATACATGGAGTTAATTTTGCTAGTCATTGACAATGCACTTAAAAGAAAATGGCAGTCGTGAATGTTTTAATTTCTGATCTTGCTGTTTATGATTTTAAAACTGTTTCCAAGGAACTGCAGTATTACTACTCACATCAAATCCCACTGAAGAAAACTCTGTATTTTATATGTGAACTTGTAATAACAAAAGTATACCTATTTAATAGAAGTTGTTTTTCTCTTGGTTAAAGTTATACAAAGTAGATTAGCCTCAGTGAAATGGCGTATTTTTATATACTATGTTCTCAGGGAATCATAAGGCCCCATTTTATTAGGAGAATGTGCTAGTATAAGCTTAGTGCTGGAGTAGGCAAAAGAAAAAGAAGAGATCTATGGAAATAAGTGGCCTGGGTTCCCCTGATAAATGAAAATTGTTCAAGACCAATTTAAACCAGAATCCTTGGTGCAAATAACCCAATATTTAGAATCACAGAAGCTGAAGATGAAGAAATGAAGCTGCGGTGATGTAGCTGAACTGCACTGCAAATCCTTTTTCAGCTGAATATCCATCATGACCTCAGTCTAGCTTTTCAAAACTGAAAACTGCAAACAGACAGTCCTCTCTGCAGGAAAGGGTTGTTTTTTGTATTGGAGTGTATTGAAGTATGGTTTCTGAGGCCCAGCAACCAGCCAACGAAGAGCTTTGGGGAGCAGCTTTTTCTTTTACTTATGTCCCTCCCAGTCTTTGTACCATGGAAAATTTTGATTAATGCATTTATTTTTGCTTGTAAGAACTATAAGGGAAACAAATAGCTCTAGGGTAAGAATAAAATCCTGCAGATTGTGCTGAATGATGATTCCCTTTTCACAGTTACGTATTGAGATCTCTTTTTGTCAGTATCAACAGTTTATATTATGCTAATTTTTGTATTATATTTTGAGTATTCTGCAAACACAAGTCAGGGACTTTGAAATATAATACATGTATATTACCAAATTCATAATTTATAGAAAATTATGTTAGTTTGAAAAGATCTATTTCCAAGAAACTGTATTAGTCTCTTCCCCCAAATTTTTAGCAGCTTAATCCTTTATAAGCTACCACATGATTTTGTTGAAATTGAAAGTTACTTGTTGCTTGCGTTATACTTTATAAAGGCCTAGCACAATTTTACTTTCCTTTTTGTTTACTGGAAACTTATTCAAGGTCACAAATATTTAGAAGGCAATGTTGATGTTCCAATGATCAGTGGTTATGTAAAAAAAAAAAGCCTAGAAATCAGCTGGACCAGGCTGGATGGATAACTTGTGTAACAGCAGTTAATACTTTCTTCTACTGAAGGAACATGAAGTATTGTCTTATGATTGCAGTGAATCATATGGCTTTCTCCTAAATGTAGATCATCACTATTTATTAAGCAATTCTACTTTACCGACAGGCATTTTGGCACTTTTATATCTCATTTTACTATGTTGTCTTTTGCTTCGCTGACCACAGACATATTTTTTCTCTATTACCCAATTGGTGTTAATTGTTGTAGTTTACACACACATGCACACCCTGCGTATATGGGTAAAGATAAAATTACTGCTCACAGTCAGGATGATTTCTTATCCTTGGTTTTCATATCCTAAACCTTAAACACAACCAACCTTTCTTGATTTGAGGCTTTTTTTCTTTTGCGGTGGGAGAGCAGGGGTGAGAATAGGTCACAAATACTCCTAAGCAATTCCTTTGCTTGTTCAAACTTTTCCTGGATAGTTTAACATTCAGCTTTGAAAAACTGGTCTTTTTTAAATTGCTAGATAATAATACCTCTGCAGCAAATTATATATTATTATTACATGTATCAAATGCAATTAAGTAATTAATTGCACATATAAGTTTTTAGTTGTGTGCTTACATCCTTTAATTTCTTCATATGCTCTGTTGAAAGATGACTTTCACAGCTACATCAGGTTGAAACAAGGAATATATAAAACAATGAATTTTTTATTCTCTAGCAAGAATTTTTTTGTCAGTTTAATTAAAAGGCCTAATTGAAACTAATGTTAATTAACATGTACATGTAGGAAGTGATTCATTCCATGTAAGTATTGTTCTGTTCTCAGTTTATTACTAGAAATTTTTATTTTTAGAAGATACCTTCTTACTTACTTCCTCTCTTTTGATATTTTGGGTATGTAAATAAGGTGTTTCAGGCAAAGTTTCATTTTAAAGAGAAAATAAGGTTCTACACATGTAAAAGATACCTTCATGTCATTCTTCTTTAAATCATATACCAAATGTTTTCCTATGACACCAATATACTCTGTGATGAGCATTTCTGAAGGGGCTCATAGATTTTGGTGTCACATTTTAGTTAACTCAAAACACCTTAGTTCTGTATTCAGTGGTCTGTAGGCTTTTGCCATGGAGTTATGCACATGACCTACTGCCAAGTTACTGAGGATCTGAGTACGGGCCTTTCTGCACATTTGCAGCATTAAAATGTGCCAGGAACCCAGGAACAGAGGAACAAAGAAATCAGAGATCAGGATATTTGTAGATGAATTTCAGGGACTGAAGATAGTTACTGGGTAGCAGAATGGTTTTGTCTGACTAAGAGAAAAATATCCTTATTCTTTCTTGGCAAATCACCACTTACAGAGTTCACTGCAAACTGATGAGCAGAAGATGTTATGCCATCAATTTATGCAGCTGTTAAATTTTCCAAACATAATGTTTTGAATCCTCACTTGGTAGGAATATTTTATTCGAGTATCACTTTTATTTTTGGTGTGATGTTTTTCTCTGATTTATCAATCAATTCCTGTCATTCCTTTAACTTTTGTACCAGGTCAAATAAGTAATACAGAATCTGAACTGAAGAAACTTGCGGAAGAAAATCCAGACCTTCAAGATGCCTATATAGCAAAACAGAAGCGCCTTAAAGTAAGAAAACACTTTCTATTCTATCCTACATTACTTGCTTGCTGGTGTCAGTTTTTTTCTGTGACAGTATAAATATTCTGCTGAATATACGTATTCACCTGGCACTATCAGGATACTTATGCAGTGGTTTAACCCTACTCGGCATGAAGCAGGCTATCCCTCAAATCACCTACACCCTTCAAGTGTGTGCTGAAGTATTGAACTGGTCCCGCTGACTTCAAAAGTGAGCATATATCTGCACTGGTGTTGGATATAGAGCACCCTGCAAGCTCAGGCAAACCTAGATATCTACCACCTCTATAAAACGTTCTCCTTTTGTTACCTGATCTATCAACAGTATCCAAATGGTAGCCAGCTGGCTGTATGCAAAAAAAAAATCATATTTATTTTGTGAATAAGCACTGTAGTATCTAATGAAAAGTTTGTCTGATAATAATATAAACTCTATACAATGATTAAAACACTTACCTCTATATACATACACATTTAGTCTAAACTGCTGGATCATGATAATATAAAGTATTTAAAGAAAATACTGGATGAACTGGAAAAAGTTCTGGATCAAGTTGAGACTGAATTGCAGAGGCGAAATGAGGAAACACCAGGTAAGGGATTTTTCTTGCTAATTTCTGTTGAAATTTGTTTTGGAAAGACTGAGAAAACCGGTTGGCAGCATTATAGGACTATTCTTAGTGCGTCTGATTTTATACTTTTAGCACCTACTGATACATCTTCACAGAAGAAATCAATACTGTTTTAAACACTGGTTTACTGCTGCTGTTAGCTGTTTGCTGAAATCTTATATGAGTAAACATGGGTTTTATAGCAATTGTTCACATTTTCAGCCTAACTTGAGTATAATTAGTACTACAGACAAGAAAACCTGAACTAAATAATGTTTTTCCTGATGTTGTAATCCTCAGTACACTGCAACAAGTGTTGCATGTTAAACATGTTGAAATGTTAAAATCAAGATCTCCTTTAAATATTGTGCTGATTTGGGGTGTTGATATGTGGGGTGGTTGCAGATTTAGCAATCTAAAGTTCTCCAATCACAGAGCAGCTCCCCTTCTCCATTCTACAAGCAGTGGTGTTGACCTGAAATCCACCTAATGAGAACTGAGCTTTGCTTAAACGGGATTCGTGTTTCTGCTCACTTAGTGTCTGGGCCAGTTCCCAGTGATGCTTATAGGAATCCTTCCTCTGCCTTCGTTGGGAGCTGCATGAAACATCAGTCAACATCAATTGCATCTCCTCAGATCAATAACTCTTTGCATGTGGCTCTACAAATAGCTGTGGTAATAATTATCAATTACTATCAAGACAGAGCAGATTTGAACTAGTGATTGAAAATGTAGATTTAATTCTCTACTGACTCACCACGGTAAGTGTTTTAACTCACAAAGGATGGTGGAATTTTGTTCAGCAAATTAAGTCTGTCACCATCTCCAGCAGCCTCTTTTCTTTCTCTGCTAAATAGCTTTTCCAAGCAGTCACCTGGTATAATACTGTTTAGCTTATGAAACCTGACAGTGCACAGGATTTAGCGAAGTAGACAATGATTAAATGCTTCTTTGAATTTTGTATGAGATATTCAGATTTCCTGAGCTTGTGAATAGTGTTTTTGTCACGTCTTGGTCAATCTCTGAGCTTCTGCTTTTCTTTGTAGTGCTCAAATCCCTCTTTCACCCCTAGTTGCTGCCACCTCGATCATCTTTCTTTCACACAGGTTAACTACTCTTGTCTTCCTTTCCATCTTTCTGCTGCATAGGATTAATCCCTATGTGTTCCAGCTAGAGAGAATGGACTCCCCTGCTGCAGAGGTCTTTCTCCCTGACCTGCGTAACCAGTTGAAAGGAACTAGTATCAGAGATGTTTCTCTCTCCTCAGGGCAGGAATGGGTTGGAAAGGATATTCCAGGGTCTCTGTATTTCCACAGACGAGCTGCTAAAAATTAATGCCAGTGGTTTTGTGTGTCTGTTGTGTGGGAACAACTGCATAAGGTTGCAAATAGGAGGACACAGCAGAGTCCCATTTGAGATCTAACTTGGAGCAGATCAACTGCGCTGGCACCTAGACTGGATACCTGTTTTCAGATCATAGTTTTTAGAAGCTACCTATACAATTAGTGCAGGGGAGCCCTCTGAGATGTTGGTGCAGAGCACTGAAGGTAGAGATGTGATGCTGCTGGCAGTGCCTGCTCTGACCCAACTCAGCATCAGCTTCTTTCCTTTGACTAGAGAGACAGTCTGGCATCTTCCTAGCTCATCCCAGCTGATGCTGGACAGTGCCAATACCCACTGATTCTCAGACATCTCCATGTAAATGATACAGAGGCACAAAGGAGGGAACAGTGGTCCATACTGTATTTTCTGCCTGAACTGCTGTGTTTGGTGCAGCTAAGACATTTGGTTCTCTTCTTTTTTTCTGGAAAGTCTTCATCAAAAAACAGCTCTTGAGTGGATGTCACAGACCTCCACTGAGTGAAGCACTAATGGGGTGATAAACTCCTCAGGCAAACAGTAGTTTTTCAGCAAAAGCTAAGCTGCATTTCTCTCTTCCATTCCTGTTAATTTAATTCAGACATGAAAAATAACTGTTTGCTATGGGTTTTAATTTATGAACCTAAATATGGCTCTTTCTTTGTAACAAATGTAGCCCAGACTGCTGAGCACAAGACTTTGCAATAGTGAGTGAACAATGAATAGGAGTTGGTAAAAAGTTCAGTTTTCCATACATCATATTTTAACAGATAAATTTGTATGGTTTATTATGCAGAATAATGAATTAGCATTAAACTAAATATTAGTCCATGCAGACTTCCATATATATTTGTACTCCATTCTTTACATTTATGCTCCTAATTCTTTATGTTTTGTTTCTGACTAGAAGAAGGAAAACAGCCTTGGCTCTGTGGTGACTTCTTCAGCCTGGCAGATGTATCTCTTGCTGTCACATTACATCGCTTGAAGTTTCTGGGATTAGCAAGAAGAAACTGGGGAAATGGAAAACGACCCAATTTGGAAGCCTATTATGAGCGTGTCCTGAAGAGAAAAGCATTTTACAAAGTTTTAGGACATGTCAACAACATATTAATCTCAGCAGTTCTGCCAACTGCATTCCGTGTGGCCAAGAAGAGAGCACCCAGAGCCTCCTTCTTGGTTGGCATGCTATCATGAATGGGTTATTTTGCTTTCCTGTGTCTTCGGAAGAGGTTTGCCAACGTGATGCTATCGATTAGAACCAGACAAAATTATTTTTAGGCTTGTCTGTCCCTGGTGGTAGGTGGAGTTCATCTCTAGCCCCAGGAAAATATCAAAAACAAGCATATAAGAAAGGTTATGTCCATGAATTAGAACGCTGTCACACAGTGATTGTCTGCTGCTTTTGAGTAATTGGATTGACAATGCTGGTACTTGTGGAAAATAAATGTTGAGGGTACAACAAAAGAAGAAGATACTTTATTTTCACATAAAGAGCTTCAAGGGCTGTGACAGTATGTTGTTAAAGTGATTATTGTTTCTGCCTACTTTACCCAATGCCTGACCTAATTTTAATGTTTTATTTAATAGACACTTTTGTTGCAATGTGACAGCTTTCCACTTCGGGTGAAATGCATTACTGTGCACAAACCAGCAATTGAACAGCTGAAAACAGCCCTTAACTTTAAATGCTCAGAGAGGGATGTAGTTGAAATATAGGCTTTGTGCCTGCCGTGTCTAGGGAAGCGAGTGCCTCTCTACTGATTAATGTCTGTTGATTTGCAGTTGGACCATTATGAATGTGTTAAAAGGTAGCCCTATAGAGCCAAATTTTCATTCTATGTTTGTGCAGGATGAGACCTGAAATACATGTAAATATCAGTGATTTGTGGGCCACGAGAGTGAAATTCTGGGGAAAAAAAAAAAAAAAAAAAAACAGTTAACAGATTCTGAACTTCTGTTGATTTACAAATGGTAATAAAAAAACTGACTCTTGTCTTTTGAAAAATCTCTTGAATAGTCTCTGGCCCACTCAGAAAACCAGTTCAGCCACAAGCACTGGCTGAGTCATAAACTCAATGCCCTTTCTACACTTTCACTCCCAGCAGCTCCTTCTATCTTTCGCACTTGTGGTAGCTTAGTACAGTTGTCTCCATGTGTAGTGTCCCATGAACCTGTCCTTGTTTCAGCTCCTGAACACGGGCACTTTTTTTTGCACACAACTTAGATATTAGCAGTTGCATGTGCCTCTATGAAAAGTACGCTCACGTTGTGCCACGATTAGAAAATAAACACATGAAAATGCCTTTTGTGAAAGTAATTTAAGAGAGTTCACTGTCTTCTAATCTGCCTAGCTAGCCTAGATTGAATGTGAAGCAGCTGCTTTGCAGAATCTGTAGGTAAAATTGTCGTAAGGGTGAAAACAAGTGAAAAACATAGGGCAGATTGGAGACAGAAGACAAGTGGTGCAGATTTTTTTTTTTTTAATCCACAATGTTGCAGCTAGTAGGAAAAATATTTAAAAATACTTTGTTACTTTCTACTATTTAGTAGAGGATGAGCTTTATTATGAACTTAGATCCTGTTTCAATGAGAAATGTACTTTTATCTGAAGCCAGAATTTGCGGACAAAAAAATAAAAAAATAGGAATAGCTGAATTTCTGATGGCAGTCTAATAAGATCTTATACTCTTTTATGAATGTCTGAAAAGTTTAGCATTTGATTATAAGCTGTAGATAAGCAAAACAAGCAAAGTGTAGCTACAAACGTATCACCAACCAGTGCCAGCAGACCAAGTAGGTTTTAGAGCTGATGTTGGTGGCTGTGGTCTCTCTCAGCTACTGCTTGTCACTATCAGGAAGAGCCTCTCTAAAGTGTGAAGAGTACAGATGTAGTTTGTATCTTGGCAGGCTCGCTGTCTACGAGATATCAAAATGGATAACATTGCTGAGTATTGCTGCTTATAATTTGATGTTGTGTTAGCTGTCCAGCAAAAGAGGGCCCAAGTCTCATTGCTCCTTACCATTAATAAGAAACACCTTACCTAGAAAACAATGCTCTTTCTTTTTATTTGCCAGAAAGACTTACTTTTTTTTTAGCAATTCTATTCTATGACACTGTTGTTTTGAAGAACTTGATGAATTAAATGTTCTCTATTTAGTAAAACTTGTTATCTCTAGGTCAAATTTAATCCAACAGTACTATTAATGTGCTGGCGACTTTACGTGGGTGCTGTTGTTCATGCACTGCAGTGCATCTGCATTTACTTGTAACTACCTTCCACTAGGTTTTTAGACACAGGGTAAGCCCTATAACGTAATGTTTCTTTGCTGTGAATTTATGGCAGCTCATTTGTAAAATACAATCTGATCAAACAACAGTAAAATTCAATATGTATGATTTTCTTTCTTTCTTAACAGAAAGCTGTATGTGTTTTTCCCTTTATTTTATTTATTTATTTATTAACGTTTTAGGTCTAGATAAGCCCACACTGCTGCTTCCAGAGGCACAGCAGGTTGCAGGCGCAGTGCGGCACTGAGTGCTGGGCTGTGCGCTTTTACGTTCCCCATTTTCTCCCCTCCAAAAAAACGGATCCTTGATTCTCCGCTCGTGCTCCTCGCAAGAGCTGCAGCCGCTGTTGGGAGGCCAGAAGTGACCACCAGATGTCAGTGCTCCTCCAGGAGCTCCAGGAGCTCCCACGCTTTGGAGAGTCCCGTGTTGAGCAAGGAGCCGTGTGGCCGCTACGAACAACATGCCCATGGTCGCAAAATGAAAGGGACGTGAACATCCCCATCAAACCAGGGTCTCTCAAAAGCCCTGGAAATGCCAGCGTATGGCTCCTGGCACCTTTCAGGTGATACGTGTGCATTTTCTTTCTAGCCTGGCTTATTTTCTTTCCTTTGGCACTTCTGAACATTCTATATATCGGTTACAAGCAGTCTCTTGGTTCTTATTTAGTGTTTGCTCTCATGTCATGAGTAAGATATATTTCATATCATATCTTTCTATGTGGGACCAGCAAAATAAACTCTGACTCTCTGGCTGCTTTCTAGCCTGTTTTGTGTCTTCTATTTCAGTAAGCCACACACATTTGAGGATCATGCAATGTTCCTCTAAGGAGACGGTGTTGAAGAAAGAAGCCTCTGAAATGTCAGTGGAAAAGGTCTTGAAGAGGTTGCCTTACACATATTTGGAAACACCAATTATAGTGGTAGTTTCCTTTGTGCATCTGTAGGATGGTCAGCAGAAGGCTTTTAATAATGTTATAAAAAAGGAGGCCATGCAGATAACTTTATTAAGTTATCTTTGGTTTATCTGTGTTTAGCTGATGCCAGGCAAAGAAGCATTTATAAGATGTGCTGTCAAAGGCATCTATAAACTTTGAAAACAAAATATGTTTTCCCTCCCTTCCTTTCTTTAAAAGAAAAAAACTTTTGGTGCAGTACCAGGTCAAAAAGTTAGACACCCAAAATTCAGGAAATTCCAGAAGCTGAACTGCTTACAATACTTTAACTCGCTTATACGGTATTTCAGTAGTAGTTTTATTTCTCTTTTTCTTTCAGAATTACCATCATACTGCTTTATTATGTGCAGTTAAAAAGGTTACATCAGAAAATAGCTAAGCTGTGGATGAACTTAGTGCTGGGGGAACAGAGTTTCCAGGCCTGAATATCTAGGTGTTTTTTGTCCTAGTATTTCATCAGTGTTACTAAATTTTATATCCATATTTATGCATATATTATATGAACTCATGCATTGTATAATATTCTTACTAATCCCTTTGATACTTATTCTGTTAAAATGGACATTGAATATTATTACTACGTTACTTATATTTATAAAATTCGGATTTAAAATTGGAAGAATTAAGATTTTGGTGATGTGTTTAAAATTAACACAATGAGACATGTCCAAACTCGGTGTTTCATGCATAATTTCTGAGATTCTCTGTAAGACTGAACACATTGTGTACCTTCATACAGGGATTTAGATGTAGTCCACACACATCAGCAACCAGGGAAGGATTAAAGGAAGGGTTTTTTTTGCATGCCCATCTCTAACTGAGGACCGGTTAGAAACAGGTCCTTTAAAGGAAACTGTTTTTCAGGTAAAGAGGGGCAGCCTGTGGAGAAGGAGCTAGTCAGAACATTAGTACCACTGGACATTTTTGTTTGGAGAAGTGTTCTCTTTTATAAGTCTGTTACAAGAAATATCACCTGTTACAGTCTGTCCTTTACTGTCTTTCATAACTCTGTAATAGCACTTCATAACATTGATAATATTTTGAGTGCAGGGACACGAAAGCAACACATCAGTCTATTTGGTGCTTTGGTTTTCTTATAATTTGGATAATTTTGTTAGCTGATGAGTGTAGAGATTGAATACTGCTGCATTAAGACCGGGGGGAAAAAAAAAAGCAGCTTTGCATGTTGAGAAACAATTGCAACCCTCAAAAATCACTGTTTTAGGACCCTGATTCAGTAAAGTTATCTCACTTAAACCACCATTTAAGTGGTGGTTTCTGTCATATGTATAGGGTGCCAAACTGAAGCTTTTGGGGGTAAGTGATGATACTCACTGAGGTGGGGACTTAAATTTAATTGTTTCCTCAAGGTGAGAGAGATCCAGCCACACTTCTGCTGTCTCCTAGAAGAACCAGGTATCACCAGCATAAGAGTGACCGGATCATTTGCTGAACTTGTGTCAATTTTTGCATGTTTCAGAACTATTGCTGGTGACAGAACATAGTTTGAACACATGGAGCACGTATGGAGAGAAGGGTCTACCACACAGCTTTCTCTGGCAGTTCAGTTTAAAAAAAAGCCAGCAGTAAGCAAATGCTGACTTCTTGGAAAGAATATTTTTAGGTACATAATATGGACTTATTAGGTCCTTATGGTGCCTAATAGGAGGGAATCCCAGGCTCCAGAGCCCAGATGAACCATAGAAGAAAAGTATCAGGCACCAGAGAAGCTCCATCACCATCATTTCTTATTGTTCAGCTCTGGGTGGCTCTTTTATGTTGTGTTTTTGGATTGCAGCTTTGTGGGAGGTCTTTATGCTTAAACTATTTGTTTGAGGTCTGTGGAAGGAGACACTATCAGGGAACATCTCTGTTGTCTACATTGTAGAGCCAGCTTCCTAATACAGATTAGGCCCCTGTTCAAAAAGGTAATGTGAATGCATATGTTTTCAACCACATAATTCTCTCCAAGCACATTGTCACAAGCCTAGATGCCAAACTGGAGCTCTGGACTCTACCCCAGAGCTAAAGCTAGTGAAAGGAGAAGGATCTATTGCTTAGTTTCTTATATCTTTTAGTAGAAATAACCCAGATAGATAGAGGATCCCACAGGAAGTCTGTGCTGGATAAGGCCAGATGCTCCTTTGTCCAACTCTGCTGCATTAATGAGTTGTCTACTCTTCCTCTGTGGTAA